TGATGAGCTGGCAGCATATGGGAGCACAGGGTGACAGAAGTCTATGAGAGCACGGGTGATGACAATGTGTGGGAAAATTGGGTGTTGAGGGAGCACAGAGTGAAGGCAGCATATGGGAACACCGGTGATGACAACATATGGGAACATGGGGTGATAGAGCAGGAGCCACAGCCTGGAGGCAGACAGCTGAGCTGCAGAGCAAGTCACTCCCACTGTGTCAACCTCAGTGGATTTCTCTCACTTCCCAATTTTTTTTAAAAGTTATTGATTTATTTTAAAGATTTATGCCAGCGGATGGTGACGCAAGCCTTTAATCCCAGCACTCAGGAGGCAGAGGCAGGAAGATCTCTGTGAGTTCGAGACCAGCCTGGTCTACAAGAGCTGTTCCAGGATAACCTCCAAAGCCACAGAGAAACCCTGTCTCGAAAATACAAAAAATAAATAAAATAAGATTTATTTATTTTATGTATTTTGAGTGCTCTGTTGACTTTATGCCAGAAGAGGGTGTCAGATCTCACTGTAGATGGTTGTGAGCCACCAAGGGGTTGCTGGAAATTGAACTCAGGACCTCTAGAAGAGTAGCTCCTATTCTTAACCACTGAGCCATCTCTCCAGCCCCTCACTTCCCAAATTTAAGACCCTTGTGAACAAGCACATGTAGTTTGAGAGACTGAAAACCTTCTAGTGATATAAAAGCTATTTTCATATCTGTGTTTTTGTTCAATGCAACTGCTTTGTGTCACTGTTTTGTGGGTCTCAATTTCTGGAAGGGGCTGTGCTTGGCTCTTCTGACTTAGGGTCTGAAATGGTATCACAGTAGCCAGAGGACAACTGAAATTGCTGTCATCTAAAGACTTGACAGTATTGGGGTCCTAGCTGGCTCACATAAGGCTGGTAAAAGATGGCATTGCTTACAGGGACCCAGCAAGAGGCTGTCACCAGCACCAACATGTAACCTCTCTAGGTTGGCTGGGCTGTCTAAAACTGATGTTGACCTTGGGAGGTCTATTTCTTACACAATGCCCATTGCTTCAGAAGTAGCTAATCTAACTTGTCAAGATTGTCTTATTGAAAACCAAGGTGTTAAAAAATTAAAGGTGATATTTTTGTCTTTGTTCTGTGTTTGAGGGTCTTATTCTATGACTCAGGCTGGCCTTAAGTTCATGGTTATCCTCCTACCTCAGCCTCCCAAGTCCTGTAATTACAGCTATGCCCTAGTTAGAAATACCATTTCTGTGATGAAATACTGCAACCAAAAGCAACTTGGGAAATAACGCGAGGAGAGCCACTACAGGCTCCGCGGGGCTGGACTTACGCTCCACCACCAGACTCGTATTAACTCCCAGAATGGGGGTCCAGCTTGTTGACACCGATTTTAAGGGACCCCTTGAGCCTGGCACAGTAGGTTTGCTTATAGGAAGATCATCTGCAGCGTTGAAAGGCTTACGAGTACATCCTGGAGTTATAGATCCTGATTACATGGGTGTAGTAAAGATCATGGTAGAATCTCCTAGAGGGATTACAGCCATCTCTCCTGGAGACAGGATAGCACAGCTACTGCTTTTGCCAAGTTTGCATGACAAGTTTCCAGCACAAGCCAGAGAGAGAGGAGAGGGAAACTTTGGTTCCACTGGATCAAACTTAACTTTCCTAGCTTTAGATCTTGATCAACGTCCAACCCTTGAGTTAATAGTGAATGGTAAGAAAATCTTAGGCTTACTAGATTCTGGAGCTGATAAGAGCATCATAGCCACTAAAGATTGGCCCTCTGGCTGGCCTATACAGGTTTCTTCTCAAACTTTACAAGGTTTAGGCTATGCTAAAGATCCTGATGTGAGTGCTAGACTATTGCCTTGGAAAGATCAGGAAGGGCATTCAGGGACCATGCAACCTTATGTGTTAGACTTACTAATTTCATTATGGGGAAGAGATTTGTTAAAGGATATGGGTTTTAAACTCACAAATGAATACTCAGAAACATCTCAAGGTATCATGATACCTGGAAAACAGAGGAGACAGTATGGGTTCCTCAGTGGCCACTTTCCTCTGAAAAACTGGAAGCTGC